ATGTCGCAACGTCTCATAATAACCTGGGCCTTGTCCACTCGCAGCTGGGTGACCTCAAGCAGGCAAAAGACTGTCTCGAGCGAGCGCTGGATGTTTGGCTGAAAAATCTCGGACCTGAGCATGTTCATCTCGCAACGTCTTACAATAACCTGGGCACAGTCCACGAGCGGTTGGGTGACCTAAAGCAGGCAAACGATTGTCTCGAGCGAGCGCTGGATGTTCGGCTGAAAAAGCTCGGACCTGAACATGTTGATGTCGCAACGTCTCATAATAACCTGGGCCTTGTCCACTGGCAGCTGGGTGACCTAATGCATGCAAAAGATTGTCACGAGCGAGCGCTGGATGTTCGGCTGAAAAAGCTCGGACCTAAGCATGTTCATGTCGCAACGTCTTACAATAACTTGGGTCTTGTCCCCAAGCAGCTTGGTGACGTAGAGCAGGCAAAAGACTTTCACGAGCGAGCGCTGGATATTCAACAGGAAATGCTTGGACCTGAGCATGTTGATGTGGCAATGTCTTACATTAACCTGGGTGGTGTCCACCGGCGGCTGGGTGACCTAAAGCTGGCAAAAGAATTTTACGAGCGAGCGCTGGACGTTCAACAAAAAGTGCTCGGACCTAAGCATGTTGATGTCGCAATGCCTTACAATAACTTGGGTCTTGTCCACTGGCAGCTTGGTGACCTAAAGCAGGCAAAAGACTGTCACCAGCGAGCACTGGATGTTCAACTGAAAATGCTCGGACCTGAGCATGTAGATGTCGCAAAGTCTTACAATAATCTTGGCCTTGTCTACGAGCGGCTGGTTGACGTAAAGCAAGCAGAAGACTGTCACGAGCGAGCGCTGCATATTTGTCTTAAAACATTTGGTCCAGAAGATGTCAAGGTAGCAGATACATACAAAAACCTGGGCGATGTGCACATTCATCAGGGTTAGATTCAGGAAGCCAAGAAATATTTTAATCTTGCATTGGAGATTTATGATAAGAACTTTGACGCTGAAGATAAGAAAGTGAGAGTCGTTCTGGATGCACTTGCGCGGCTGCATCAGGAGAGAGAGAGAACACATAGTCCTGGACCTGTTCGTGATAAGAGAAAATGTTCCTTATTTTAACTTGGACAACATACTGAAAGTTTAAACCTTAGTCGGAAGATGTCTAAGCAATGGATTTTCAAAAAAAAAAAAAAAAATGGCTCACTTACATCAACGGGAAATGTAGAGCATTTCAAAGCTGTTGGTAAAACGAAAGCTAGATTTGCGATTCTCGAGTTCGTGACCATGGAGACTTGCTCCTGGTTGTTTTGAATATGCTGCATTATGAAAGTATAGAACTGAATATTAGTCACACATAAAGTTCAATGATCATAAACTCGTAGTTTATTTACCACGTTAGGCTCGTTAATTGTATTTAAGTGAAGAACAAATCGAAGTTAAGAGTTCAAAGAGAGATATCAAGGCTTCAGTTTACAGCATACCCACACAGATTAAGTCAAGCAACACCCAACGGTGGTGCATTGTAACGGAGAAAATTTGAGAAACAGCAAAAAAAATTTCCAATAAGCCGGACAGAAGTAATCCCTTAAAATCTGAAAATTGTTCCTATTTCTAGTCACTTAAATCATGAACAGTAATAGCTTTTGGCGTGCTGCATGTATTATAATTTTATGACTGAAGGCGATAAAACCAATAACAATCTTCCATTAAGTAGGTTAGCTCGGGCTGAATATTAAAGGAGTTATGTGGCGGCATTTGTGTCGTTTTTGTGTTACGTTTTGATGGTTGGAAAGATTTGATGTTAGAACAATAAACCCTAAAAAACCGTAAACCACAGAACTCCGTTTTGAAAAAACGTGCGAATGGGTAGAATCCACAATGCTCTAATCAAACACCATTTGTCAGTCATTTTCGTGGCATGAACACGAGCTTGCTGATACACAAAATAGAGTAGCGGTGTAAGCCACTTTACCTAAGGAGCACAGAAATTTGTACAAGTGAAATCCTAGCCACGCCATAACTTGCTTTTTAGATTTTTAGATGATCATTTTGGTACTGTATATATCAATCTGTGATATGCAATACACGTGTCGAATACTCCGGCCTGCCTTTAGGTAACAATGTTGTTTTATCACTCACAATTGAGAGATCAATTAAAGACTTTGAAGTTTCGGTAACCCTTGTTGGTGTATTTTTTTTTAATTACATTTGTCGTTGCAAATTTCCTTAGCACATTGGTAAGCTTTGTTCCTTGCGGAAATGATACTGAGCAAGGAAGAAAGGTTGCCAGTGTGCGGATCTTTGGAAGATCATGAACCAAATAACGAGAAGAGAGAAGGGTGGCAAGAGAATTGGCTAGTCAGAAATAAAAATGAAATGTTGCTCTATGAAGACCATGATGAAGCAGCCATCATGAATTCCTTTTTCACAACAGTAGGCGAGAAACTAGCTTCTAAATTTCCAATCTCTGCGATGAATGGTTTGTCATTTATTTCTAAAGTTCTGCCAACAATTTTTGAAATAGCCTTTCGACATGTGGACTTTTCCATTATGCTGGTTAAGATAAATATTCGGAAAGCACATGGGAGTGACGGCATGTCATCAGGAGAAATTGTTACAAGGATCGGAATTGTCCAGAAAGTTCGCGAAGGTCAATGTCACGCAATGTGTTGTTTCGAGAATTTTCTAGAACTGTGACTCAGCAGTTTCCAAAAATAGTACAACTTGTAATACGCCATAAATAGTAATAGAACATTCTAGATAACTAAATTAAATGTATAAAAGCTGGCTTGTGAGATATAAAAAAGATTTGCCCGAGGGCTTACCCTCGTGGCTTGCTGACTGAAGTTGTAGAAGCTATGATGTGACGAGGCTATGACCTTTTGACCTTGCGATGTCCGGAGAGAGGAAAGAGATGAAAAAGACGATAGTCGAGAGAGGAAGAAGATAGAGAATACAGAGTTTACTATGGAGTCCTCCGGAAGAGTTTGTGTACAAGGATAGAATGCGATAAATCAAGAAAGCCAAGCGCTGTGGTCTTCAGTCGGCGGATGTTGGAATTGGAAGTTGATCAAGACGACGAACACTTACACGGCATGAAGGATTGTAAGCCTGCTTTATGAACTGCTAAACTTAATCTTTAACCTAAGTAAATTAGACAATGTAAAACTAATTAAATAATAGTTAAAATGGGTAACTGCTTGTCGTTACATTTTTGTTGCGTGCCATATATCGTACTCGGGAGTCTATTTTCATATATGCTTTGTTAGCGGACATTTGTTGGTTATTCGTGCACGTAACAAAATAAAGATTGTTTTTAAGGACTTCGGTTACTGCATCACAAGTACAAGCAATATGAGACACGAGAGTTTTGGGGATCACTTGTTTTTCAAGGAAACGGAAGGGGTGGATCAGTTGTCGCTTGCAGAGTTTAAAGCATTTAATTTGCGAAAATTCATTTTGTGACTTGGCTCTTTTGATTCTGAGTTTGTTTTGTAAGTATTGTTTGTTGGTTTTATTCTTTCTTTTTGTTTGCTTCTTCTTTACTTTAAATGAGGTTTTTTCCGTTGGAAAAAATCTGCAGGTGAATATGACTGAAACTTTTGTTTGAAAATAAGTACATCGATTTTGGCGGAACATAAATGAGAAACAAAACGCCATGTAAGTGAATTTTTAAACTTACCGAATTATGCAGGGGGAATAACTCAATCAAGGTTAATCAATGAGGGATATTTAGAATGTGTCAAAATTGAGTAACAAGATATGACAATTGATCGGCATGCACAGTTTCTCGTTTGATTCAGGTACTGTCATTATTTATCCCCTGGGTAGGTGGGTCGGAGGATTTTGGTAATGTCACAGTGTAATTTACCTGATCCCTCCCTCCCCCCCTCCACAGGGCTCTGTTGCATTCACATGATACCACCCTGATCGGCAATCAATTCTCTATAGTCTCATTTATACTCTGTTAGCGACGACTGTTTGCCATGGCAACCAGAAGAGTGTTCCTTACATTCCCCCTTTTTCTATCTATTCGGTCCAGTAACATATTAAAACCAGCTGTTTAAAAAATAACTTTCCTTTTTCTATACAAGTTAACCGATTGGTAGAGGTTAATCATGATCAAAAGGTTAGCGCTTTTAAATGAGCAAAAATATAGTTTCGAAAAAAAAGTCTCTCGGCGAGGAAATCCTCTCTGGAAAACATGTCTGCACTTTTGAATTGTACCAAGTTTTCATAAAAAAAATATACAAGTCTTTTGGCGGGAAAAATATATCCGACGTGAAAAAGATTTTCTCCCATCAAAAGTCAAGTATATCTTTTATTTTAGCGCTAAAAGCCGTTCAAATCTACAAAACCTCAAGAGAATAATAATAATAATAATAATAATAATAATAGGTCTTTATTGTTTTTAAGCAAAGATGCATGCTAAAACAAGAAAATTTACATAAAAGTTATTACAAGGCTATCAACATTACATAACATAAAAACATAGTAAACATAAAAACAACAAAGTAAAGTATAACAGCGTTCTGGAACGTTTCCTCTCATTGGAAACAAGTTCTCATATCCATGGGGTGTGACAGAGAAATGTCTGGATGACAGCGCGGGAATCCTTTCTAATTTTGTGTCTTACAGAGGTGTCCTTCGAGAGAGACTTAGCAGTGGGGTCAAATTCTGTAACAGGCATTTACACCTACAAACAATTTGAAGTTTATGGGGAAAAATTTATTTCATTAAAGAATGACATCGTCCATATGACTTCTCCTCAACAACGACTTCTCTAAACGCTAACAATTACCTTTGTCTACCATATTTACAATTGAGCAGGTTTTAACGTACTTCGATACAAAAAAAAATTATTCTCTTTTTCATTATGTCAAATTCATCTTTCTCTCAGTCTTTCCGTCACAAGTCTTCTGTCAGCTCTTGAAAGGTCACTTGCGATAGAAAGCTACAATAGATCAAGAAAGAAAGTTGTTAAAATGATGGCGAAACTGAGATGGCTGGCCGTAATATTAGAGTCTTAATGGCTGATTGCCTAACGTTAATAGGTAGTTACCGTATTACTTCGAATAAACGCCGCATCCAGGGTGCGGCGTTTATTCAAATATTAGAAAAAGAAATAATTATAGTGCAAAACAATATTAACCAGCCCTTTCATTAATTTCTTAATGTTTATTTGCGCATCTTATGTCTCTCCTAAATAACAAACAATAAAATGACAAGATTACTGTTTTGATTGCAGCTCAATCGTCTTAAGTCAGCCTCGGATACTTTCTTTCATTTATCACGATATTCTTCAGTTCAAAATGTGAATACTTATTCGCCATTTCATTCAGCTCCCTGACCAAAATGTTTGTAGTCTTCAGATCTGGGATCATTGCCGTGAACTCTTCTGGCACTATAAGTCCGAAAAACACCCGCAACATCGAACTGATCTGATTTCTTACGCGTTTACAAGCGCAGCAAGTTTGAGTTTGATCTCTAAAGTTTGATCTGTACAGCCAGACAAGTTATCTCTTTTTCTACTTTTTAAATTTGGTTGTATTGTTTTGTTTTTTTTGTTTTTGTTTTTTTTTTTAAATAAACAGCATATTAAATAAACGCCGCCCTCGAATAAACGCAGCGCCCAAATCGAGGAAAATTCAATCAGCGCCGCGGCGTTCATTCGAAGTAATACGGTATTCATCGTGGGTTCTTGATAGAGAGCTCGGGATTTGTCTGACATGGCCGTAAGTGTAATTTAGTTTTATCACTTGAGTTGATAAAGGCAACTGGCCACCATAGGACAAATTTCGAAGCTGACGTTTAGAGCATGAAAAAAAGAAAAAAAATTTAAACAATCGATTTAAGCGCGCCGCACGGAAGTCTGGGAGTGAGGCGCACGAGAAATGTTATTTCTGACGTTTGAGTGACACGGGGACGAATTAGTCTGAAACTTATATTCTGTTGGCACGTTGAAGAGGTTTGCGTGGCATTGTGGAAGTTTCGGAATTTTAAGCATTTCGCGGGAAAATTAATTCTATCTCGGTCGGTCAGTCCTATGTTTGATCATCTTATTTCTTTGTATTTGTTGTAATTTTCGATTTCGACCTCCCCGTAAAATATCATTACAATCACTGAATTTTTTCTGGTAAAAAAAGTGTAACGAGGTAAGTTTACCCTTTCCTCGGGGCATTGTGCTGCTGCCTTAGATGAGGAATACGTTTCCACATATTTTTTGGGCACATCTAAAAAATGGGTTTTTGTTGGTTTTTCATTTCTGGCGTAGCAAAGGTTCTTTTCGTAGAACCCTTAGTTTCACTGAACACAAGTTGAGATTGTGTCAGGATGTGTATATTGCAAGACTGACTGACTTATTCTAAATAACCTTTCCACATTGAATGTCTCACGTGAGTGTAGTAAGAATGAGTTACTTTTTATGCACCTCACCAAACTTATCAACTTACCCTCTCAAATGTCACATGATCAGGAGGTAAATAACACTCCAAACGGTGGTAATGCTTCTGCCTGTACTGACGATATCCATGATCGGTGAACGAAACAACCCACCTTAGAGTCCTGTGATTAAAACACACGGGGCAAGTTATTTACACGTGGTCTAACCCAAACCGCGGTCTTGCGCAATCGGTGGGCCATAAGTATTCTCTACAAGAGGATATTTTCATTCAATAAATGTCCTTCCACTGCTAGCTTTCGGCTTTCAGGTGTAAAAGGACCTCAATAGGGTAAACCGATAGCCGTTAAATGGCCTAAAACGTAAGCCGTCAGGCGTACAAATTGACAAGTTTTAATCTTTAGGCGAAAGAAAAGTTAACCGTAAAAACAATTTCTGGTGACAACAATGAAAAGATATTAACCGTCAGCCGTAAATTTGCGAAAATTTTTACCATAGGCCGTTAAAAGCCACCATTGGAGACCCTCGTGTAATGGACCAGGCGGGGGAGGGAGGGGAAGGGGGGGGGCTGGTACTTATTCTTAGGAACAACAAATTACCTGTTTGGAATGGGGCTGCCGCAAGTTCTGCACTGTGCTCGTCCGCTGCGCGTATGCTCGACACCGTAAGAATAATCAAAGTAGTCAGACTCCTTGAACAAAGAAGTAAAAAATAATCAAATCATCAAAATCCTGATTTTCGCAAAAAAATTATTTGATCGTGTAGCCTGATGGTCATGCAAAGAACGACTTACGCTCAGATCGTGGAAACGTCAGTCATTACCAATTACAACTTACAGTCTTTATCCGGACTACTCTCCCCTGGATGATCAGACCACACGATCAAACAATTTCCTGGTAAAATACGCGTAACTAATCATATTTTCACTTCAGAAAACGCACAGTACCCTAACTCAATTACTATGCAGCACGTTATTTTTTCAGTGTGACAAAAGAGAGAGCTTAGCGTATACAAACACTAGCCGTTCTGTCCCTTCTAACCAGCAGGCAGCCTGCGTAACAATTCCAGTAACCTGTAGCTCTTGATATCCTTGCTGAGATATTTCGGCCCTTTCCCTAGACCCAGTCACAATCCCTCTCGGTCTAACGACTCGTACAGACTGGAGCCGAGAGGAGATGTGAAGGATGAACTTTGAGCATTTGTAAGATTACCAAATAGTCCAAATACAGGGTGACAAAAACAACTTGAATCAAAAAATCAACAGTACCTCTTCTGAGTAATTCTCACTGTCACTACTTTCTTGATCAGATTCACTTTCACATCACTACACTGAAAAAAAATCAAACCAAATCTTAAATGAAGAAATTTATGATCTATCTTTTATGTTAAGTCAAAGTTGCCTTTACGAAAAAACACAACAACCAGCCCTGACCTGATTGATGAAGTAGGCACAACTTTCTTTGGAGTTTTCATTTTTGCTTCTTTGCTCATCTCCTATAAGGGAAAGTGAAATAACATAAAAAAGTACTACTGGTTAATTTTTTCCTTTAATTTTCTTGCCAAGATCTTTGAACTCAAGATCTTTTATTTTCATGCCAAGATCTCCAAGGATATTTCACTTTCTTGCCAAAATCTTTAAGAATCTTCTATTTTCTTGTAAAGAGCTTCAAGGATCTTTTATTTTCATACCAATATCTTTAAAGGACGTTTGAAATTCTTGACAAGACTTTTTGGAGATCCTTGAAGATCCACACCAGAGCCTCAAAGATCTTGACAGGAAGATGAAAGATCCTTGAAGATCTTGGCAAGAAAATGCAAGGTCGTTGAAGATTCTGGCAAGAAAATGCCAAATCTTGGAAGATTTTGGCAAGAAAATGCAAGATCCTTGAGGATCTTGGCAAGAAAATGCAAGATCCTTGAGGATTTTGGCAAGAGAATGCAAGATCATTGAGGATCTCAACGATTAAGAATTGTGAAGATCCTCAAAGAATTCTCAGGGATCTTCATGAAGATCCACAAGAGAATCCTGAAAGGTCCTCATGAAGATCTTTCATGATCTTTAAAGATCCTCCAAAGATTTTCATCAGGGATCCACCATTGCATGTTCACTTCCACAAAGGGGAATAATTGTTAGGTAACTGCTTTACTTTTGTTTGAAAGAGAAGAAAAATGCTACATTAGAAAGACATGTTTCAGTTCACCAGAATTTGTCAAAGGTCAAATACAAAACTTAACCTGGACAGCAAAAATTGAAGATTTCTGTTTCAAATCACTGCTTACCTAAATTTTTAGATGCCTCTCTCCCAGTTCCTTTGGAGAAAGAACTTCATCTGCTATTTTGTTTATTGTAGTGTCTAACACCTGGAAGGTCAAACAAAAAGCTCAATAATTACCCACTGTCATAAAAACTGAACTCTTGTTTCTGGTCAGCACTGGAAAGGTCACAGCCAAATGGAAAAAAAAAAAAGCTGTTTACATCTGAATAAGAATTAAGTGCAGCTCAGCATGTTGAACTCACATAGAATCCATCTAAGACCATGAGCACATAGACTGAAACAGTCTTTTAAAAACTGCACCCTTATTCTGGGATGTCACACTTTGTCAAAACATTAAGGCTGACCTTGAGAATATGTCTTACAAGATACAAGTACAATTCACTTAGACTTTCACTAGTTGGGCAAGCAAAACTGTTGAGAAAAAAAAAAGGCCTGATTGACTTATGATAAACTACAAGGTTCTCCTTCCAAATTGTCATGTATTACTCGACAAAAAAAGAGAGAGAAGTTAGTGTTCCAGTAAAAATAACCTTAGGAGTCTATTCTACACCCCTTTAACTGTTATCTCACCTTCACTGGTACAGCAGACTTGAGTTGAGCCTTTGCTCTACAGTTTGGACAGTCTTTTGAAAGACTAAGAAAAAAAAGGAAAAATAACATGAGCCCTGTTAATGCCACAAACAATTCTCGCTGTGTGTTCTTTTAGCAGAATACTTGGCAATTTGGATGGAGAATATAGCATTCTATCAGAACTGAGGGGAGAGTTTAACATGTTCCCTATAGCTAAACAACTACTCATGCCATAACAATTTCTCCCTGGGTTCCATTTCATTGATTCAATGGAGAAAATAGCTTTCTATCAGAACTGAGGGGAGACTGATTGAGTATTGAAGAATTAACAGGGAAGCCTGATGAAATGCTGGGTGATAACCTTGCAACGGACTAGCATCTCATCCATGCTTTACGAGATTTTGAATTCCTTCTTTTACATTTTTTAAATCATTGGTTTCTAGTAACCAAAGTACTCCACTGCAGAGACGTGACTGAAATACAATTATATTTTTAGGCATGATCTTTCTACCACCACTGTTTCTTCACTTTTAATCATTTCCTTTGTATTGCCTTTTATGGAACAAGGAACCGGTCTGCATCCTGTTTAGGCCAAGATTGTTCAAATATGACTCTTTCCCTTTTAGTTCTACACCATAACTGCCCAAGACATGATTTGCACCAGGTAATCAGCCATCCGCTACGAATAATGAAGCTATGGAACGAACCCGCGAGGTTGACCCAAATCGCCTTGTGGAGATAGATTTCTGTCTTGGGTACGAAAAAAGTTCAGGTTTCGAAGCCGTTACCAACTTTCAAATTTCAGTAGGTGGCTTTGTTCCAGATAGTGAAGAATCTGTGAAATGCCCAATTGGTTATATACTGAACGCCCACGTGGAGAACTTCGATGATGAACAAGACGAAGCTAACTTAAAGTATGTATACATATTTTAGATATATTCAACGTTTACTTGATGGAAATTGTTCAAAAAAGAAATTGCAGATTATCTACATCAAAGTCTATCAAAGGGA